GTGAGATTGTTGTGCCAATGATGTCGTTTTAGGTGCTAATGACAAATTGAAGTTTAGAATTTGTTCATTCATCTCTTGCTTTTATATGCAGCAACTACTCGTTTATATGCAGCAACTACTCCAGCAACTACTCGTACCTACTAACGCTCAACTCCATAACGAAGGGCTCGGGACCTATGATACCATATACCACCTATGTACCATACCTATGATACCATTTTTACAAACACTGGTCAAGATCTCGTAACTACTCACGATCTCGTGCCTACTCACTCGTACCTACTCACGCTCAACTCCATAACGAATAAAAATAATTTATTTAAAAATCCTTCTTTTTCCTAATCATTTTTACAAATTAAATTTAAAAATTATTTAAAAAATGACTCTCTTTTAATTCATTTACAATTATTTAAATAAAAAATTTTTTTAAATTATTTTATTCACAACAATTAGTTTCATTCGTTTTATTTTCTTCTTCAATTATTTTTCTTAACGGTAAATTTGGAATTTTTGTTCGAAGTCTCCCTGTTGGTGAAATTAATAAAGTAAAGGGCCTATTTGCTGCAGAAATCATTGGTTTATTTACAGACATTTTTCTTTTCAATTTTTTTATTTTTGATGGATTAGAACATGCTAAATGTAAAGAACGACAACAAACAAGCAAAGAGCATAAAGATAAAAATCCTTTGAAAAAAAATCCAGCAATTAATGTTATATTAATTGCTGGATCCAGCAATTAATTCGATATTATTATGTTTTGCCTTAATTGGGGGTAAGTGAATAAAAATAAAAATTGAATAAAAATAATTAAATAAATAAAAGTGTGGATAAATTAAAAATTCCACAAAATCATTTCTAAAAATTATTCTTAAATATCCACGCCCCAATAATTCTTTAAAAAATTTTTTTTCAAAGGATTTTTATCTTTATGCTCTTTGCTTGTTTGTTGTCGTTCTTTACATTTAGCATGTTCTAATCCATCAAAAATAAAAAAATTGAAAAGAAAAATGTCTGTAAATAAACCAATGATTTCTGCAAATATATTTCTACAATTTATAATTATTTTTTATTTAAATTAATTTTTATTAAAAACAACAACAAAACATTAAATGCCAGGCTTTATTTAAATATGTAAGTTTTATTTTTATTTATTTTTTGCTTTTAATTAATTGGCAGAAATTATTGGAAACAAAATTTTTTAAAAATAAAAAAATTCTTTTAATTAAAAAACCTCTAAAATTCCAAAAAAAAAATAATTTCTCTTAAAATTCCCAAAAAAACTTTTTTATGCCATCTAGTACCAAATACTATCTCACTTAAGGTTATACATCCAATAAAATAGCCAACCAATCATTTTTTAAGGGAAATTATTTATTTTGAGGGAAAGGATAAATATATTTTTTAGGAGAATATCAAGGCCAGTTTGTTTTTACGAAGGAAAAATGGCCTAAGACCGAAAAGTTTTAATTATAAATATTTTTAGTAATGTTAAAAATATATAATATTTTTTGTAAATTGTATAGCATGACTAAAATTTACAAAAATGGTCAAATTCCTTCAAATTTCTATTAATACGAACTTATTTACGCTTACTCGTGACACTGAATCCGACCCAACTTCGCATCAGCGGTGGTTGATAATATTCAATTTGAAGGCCAAGATGCTAGATTTCTTCCTTTTCAGCGACATACTCGAAAATTTTGAGATGAAAATACGCGGATTTGAAGCGATTTTGAAAAAAACACTCCCTATCCAACCATATCCACGGATATTCACGGGTATCCAGCTATTATCCGTATCCATGTGCAAATCGATAAATTTGATAAAATTCACCTCAACATCTAACAAAAGTACCTTTTCAAAATCTTAACCAAATAAAGTACAGTCTTCTACATCTCCAAATAAATAATTCTAATTAAGTAACCAGTCTTTTTTCTGTTCTCTCTAATTTTATTCCAAGGACATTCCCTCCTTAATTTTTAATTCTCAAGTGTTGGCTAACCTTAATTTTAAATTTAATTTAATTAGAATTTCCCCAAAAAACTTCCCTTTATCTAACTTCCAACCCCAATTTTCTTCTCCTCTCTCAATCTTATTTTTTATCCCGTAAATATATATCCACTTGAATGCTTCTTATAATTTTTCATCCTTTCTTGAGTGGGTAAAAAATGTTCAATTTGATCGTGAGCTTTCTTTTACGCTTTTAATTTTTTTTTATATTTTTTTGAAAAAATCTTTTCTTTACTTAATCTACAATAATTATATTTAGTACATTTACTATTTTTATTTTTAAAGAAAATCCAAGTTTTTTTTTTGTTAAATTGGATTTACCTTAATATAATATATAAATTGTACATAGGTATATTTTTAGGTTAAATATATATTTTATTTTTATTTAAAAATCATATTTTTTAAATATTTAGTAACCTTTATTCCAGGGCTTCGATTTCTGCGGATTTTTCCTCATTTTGTGGTTTTTTGATAGGGCGATGAGGATTATTTTTAAAAATGCGGATTTTTGTGGTCTTTTGAAGATTATGAGGATTTTCTAGATTTTCTTGTAGTTTTTAGGAGAAAATGTCTTTTTTTCTCTTACTGCTTTCCAAAATCCGCAAAATTTTCGCCTGCGGCGCTGAAAGAGGACGATTTTTGGCTCTTGGCCTTCCAAAATTCCCGAAATTTTCGCCTGTGGCGCAAAAAAAGAAGATTTTTCGAGTAAACAATTCACTACAACTAGGTACGGTGAAAGCATTGGCTCAAGTCAACTGTAATTTTTCATTTAATTGTTCGGATTCTAATAAGATAGTCATTAGTAGTGAAAAAAATTGCTCAATTCAGTTGTTGGAGTCAAAAAATATAACGCATAAAGTGATTTTAATTCAATTTTTGTGTTTGATAATTTTTTGCGGATTTTTCATATCAAATGCGGATTTTTTCGATCAAAATTGCGGATTTTTAAAAATTCGAGATCGAAGCCCTGCTTTATTCAGTTTAATTTTTAAAATTTATTTAGACATATTTTAATTTTTTACCGATTATAAAATTTTGAATTTAAAGCCTTTTATTTTATATTTACTCTAAAATAATTAAAAATTCAAAAATCTTCTTTAATTTTCTTCTAAAATTATTTTAAAATATTTTTTAGGTTATTAAATATATTTTTTAGGTGGGGAAGCCTAATATACTAAAATAAACTGTTAACTTTTATCCAACAGTACAACTGTTTCTATAAAATATTAAAATTTAATGACGTCCCTAATAAACACTTTTTTGACCTTTCTTTTTATTTTATACTAGCGAAGGGGCTCGCCCTTCGGGCGAGCTCCTTCGCTAGTCAAATCATTACACAAACTGAATCAAAACAAATCATACTGGTACATCATATCTTATGAACTTTCCCCTTTCGATTGGTGATCAACCCTAACTAAAATTACCTCTAAAATAAAAAAATCACAAACAAATTAAAAACATTTTATTCACAATAAAAAATAAATCATACAATATAAATATCAAAATTGGGTGAGTTTGTGAGTAGGTGAATAGGGTAATATAATTAAAAAGGATATCCAAAGGTTGCATATCTGGTCTCTATATTCAGATCTAAACTTTTTACAGTTCTAATATCATCATAACTTATAGCTCCTTTCACATTCAACAACAACAGTCGTAGGTGATAGCGTTCAGTTTCAGCTGGCGAAACCTTAACCATCCGACCGATTGTACTAAAATGTTTAATTCTATTATTCCACTTTCCTTTACTAAACACAAACTTTTCCGGAATCTCATGATAAAAGAGATTCCGTGCTAAATCATTATTCTTATTCAAATCAAAATATGCTAATAACTCAGAATCATTTTCTATTTTCTCTCTTATCTCATCCTCAGTCATATTCTCATCAAAATAGCATACGTGCTCACCATCCAAATGGACGGGTAAGGTTGTAATGCTATGACTTCTATCATATGTTGGGTATTCTAATATTCTCCACACGGCTTCCTGCGGACAGACATACCGTGCGTCTATATACTCTTTAATCTCATCATGATCTGTTTTCTCTTCATAATTCATAGTAGCTCTATCTGGTAACTTATGCACATACTTATGCAAATACTTAACTGAAGTCACGCTATTAACTTTTTCCACATTAATGTGGCATCTAAACTTCTTTAACAAATAAGGGTTATGTGGAACAACCCATCTATTATCTAATTCAAATCTCTTTCCTGAAACAAATACTTCAACTATTTTTTTATCTCTAGGTCTCGCATACAATGCTTGGCCATTTTCTAATACTACTGTCTCTTCTTGAAAAGGTTTTGGATATCCTTTTGAACAAATTCTAATCTTTTTTCCATTTACTTCCTTCTCTTCCATGCATGGGCAATTTGGATTCAAATCACCACATGGTCCATGGATCATATGCTTTTTAACTAAATCAAACAAATCTTTGTCAATATCTTTATCTGGTATTCTAGCACTAATTCCACGCTTTTCAACATCTTCAGAGCTAGTAACTTTATCAATATCAAACATGGTCAAAAGCAGATGGATGTGCGGTAGTTCCCGACCTTGGTTCTCTACCGGATACATCCAACAAAGTTCTCTACCAAAAATCTTAGTCTTTGTTATCTCAGTCATTAGTGCTTTTACTTTTAGATAGAATACTCTATCAACTAAATCTGGTCTATCTGCTGAAACTTGTCCTTGATACAAATTCTCTACAATCTCCTCCCATTGTGGATTGCAAGTCATAGTCACGAACAAATCTGGTTTCCCAAACCGTCGCACTAATGCCATTGCATCCTGGAAGTGCTTTTCTATATATCTAGGCGAATTGGTAACCGATGGAGGCAAAATTACCTTCCGCCCCAACGGTTTCCCAGATTCTCTCGCTCTCTTTTCTAAAAAGCTATCAACATTCTTGTAAGCATCAGCAAAAATACTTTTCTGATTACTTCTAATCCATCTCATTCTATCTCCTTCAATCTTTACCCATTCATCAACACAACTGTTGAAATAGTTTTCCTCCATATAAAATGGGGTTAAACTCTTTCCTAATACCAATACTATAACTTACATACTGCAGTCTTGTTACTCTTCTAATACTATTATCTTGTCTAATATCTGGATGCCAACCCAATGTACCACGTGGAAAAAACAACGGGTACGTCATCGGGCTGACCATTTCATTTGTACTATTCAAAATTCTCAACTCTTTTCCTCGCTCTCTAACAACAATCTTAGCATCAGGCACTTCGCCATCAGCTCCTGGAACATAAACTGCTGCTACTTCATTTGCTTTTGGTACATTATACCCTAATCTTTTATCTAATTTACTTTTTGTATCAAATAACAAACTTATCTCCACAGGAGACCTATTTTCTCTTATAGCTCTTTCTAATTCTTCGTCCTCTTCATCTTTCATCATTCTATAAGCTTGTGCAAATGGACTAATTTCTTTTATCAATTCATATACATCAACTAACAACCGTTGGTCTATGACTGGGTTGGCTCTATGCAATGTACTAATAGCTTGTACTGTATCTACAATAAAGACTTGCCCATAAGCGGGCTCATCTTCAGGATCTGGATTCAAAGCTACATTCATTCTATGATAAATCTGACCACATATGCGAAAGCAGTATGGGCCTCTATTACTTGGATATCTATATCTTAACGGATTCATGGAAGCCATGGAAACGCTACTATTCAAATTTCTTATACAATCAAAAAAGTTCTTATGCCTTTCATCTAATCTCATAAACAAATTCTTCAACAAATCTGGAAACTGGGCTTCTGGTAGCATTGGTAAATGAACTTTGCCATAATGGCAACAGTCCTTAAACGTACTACCCTTATTACTAATCTTCTCTTCTGGAAAATGCAGAGCACCACAATAGGTACACTCTACATCCATCCGTCCGAGTCTATAACTAACAACATTACTACAGTCGTAGAGATGAAGTATGGAGTGATATGAAGTGAATAAAATGGGGGCTTTTATAGTAAAATGATTTGGGAGGTGAAGAAATGGGTCTTTTATAGTAAAATGATAACTCCTTATATTCTGAGTGTAACTCTATGAATTTAGGGACCCTCCTCATAAGCTATAGCTTATTCGAAAGAGCATCAAAAACTGTATCTAAAACCTTGGGGCAATTTTGTTTAAGAACTTTCTCAGAAGATAAAACAGATGAAATTATAAATTGTAATTTATATTTGCAAATCTTCAAAGCCGTGTAACTATGAATTTAGGGACCCTCCTCATAAGCTATAGCTTATTAGAAAGAGCATCAAAAACTGTATCTAAAACCTTGGGGCAATTTTGTTTATAAGAACTTTCTCAGAAGACTCCCAAAACCATTTTACTATAAAAGCCCCCATTTCCTCACTCCCAGAATCATTTACTATAAAAGCCCCCATTTTTTCACTCCCAAAATCATTTACTATAAAAGCAGTAGCCGTGTGACAAACACTCAAACAATTTCCACCGATTCACAAATTATATATAGGATTTTTAAGAGAATTTAATTTCCAAACAACTTTTCCTTTTTTAAAGACATTCCATGGATATTACTTTTAATTTTTTTTAAAAAAGGCTGTTTAAAAATATTTAAAATCAAAGTTTTGATTTTATTTGATTATTTTATCGACCAATTGCTTGAAATTATTTTGAAGTAAATTAATTGTTCAATATATTTATTTTTTTGCTAAATAAATGAATATCCCATAATTAATATAATCAATTTAAAGTCAGCAATTCTTTCAAATTTAATATTTTTCACTAGGGCTGGGCCCCGATCCGCCGGGGGCCAAAGGTCTGTTGTCGGGTTTTGTCGAGATTGTATGTAGTACATATTTGTCGAATTTTTATTCAATAAAAGGTTGGGGTCACCCCCTCTATTTTTCATAATTTTTCTTCAATTATTACGTAAAAGAACATTTAATATATTTAAAAACAACTGTTTCCTAAACTTTAAAAGTTTTTTTAAAAATTATTCGGGTCAAGTAAATAGTAAAAGAGATTTAAAAAAAGAGAACATATACACATTCTTTGTTTTATCTTTATATATTTCTTATTAACGTCTTTTATATTTTTTTATTGGAACAGATAATATTTTTTTCATTTTTGAAATAAATTTTTTTTGGTTTAAAAATATTTTCTTAGCAGGGTCGTCATTTTACCCGGAGCTGCGGGTTATTTAACCCCGGGTAGCTCTTTTATTGTACCGGCCGGTTAAACAACCCCGGGTTGCGGGTTAAATAACCCGGTCATTTAACCGTTAACTCGGGGTTTTCATTTATTGTGCGGGTTGAGGGTTATTTAACCCCCGGGTAGGGGTTAAATAACCCAAACCCCGATTTTATTGTACGGGCCCTGCTTTTTACAGCCCCTAATGACGGCCATTATTTATGAAGAAGGAACAATATCCGCTGTAATATTATGGAAACCAAGCCTGTTTACGGTTATGGTTTTAGCTCCATTTTAGCTATATCTGTAGATCCCCTCCTTCACCTTTCACGCGAAATATTAATTTAATTTAAAAGTTGAAGGCCTTTGAACATTTTTAGTTTATAAATATTTTTTTATTTATATAAAAAATACAGGAATTGATCGCCCGCACAAAAGGTTATCTCTTCTAAATATCCACACAATTATACATATTAATTGTCATTTTTTAAATAAAGGTAATTAATTATTAACTTATTTTTTCTCTAGTCACTTTTATTTATTCAAGTAAATTATTTTGATTTATCGCTTTAGGGCTAGAAGGATTTCCTGGATTTTAAATGGGTAAAGTATAAATATATAATTATAAATACCTTTCGAAGAATATTATTTTTTGGGAAAATATTTTTATTAAATTAAAAACAAAATTTAATTTAATTTAATATATTTAATTGGTCAAAGAAATAAACAATTAATATATCCTAATAATTTTAATTTTATTTTGTAATTAACTCCCAACAATAAACAAAATATTTTAAAAGAAAATATTAAATTGCACATTTTGCAGCGCGAACATTTAATTATTTATTTATTTGAAAGAAAATTTTGCAAGAAAATTAAAAGTAAAAACAAAATTTTTGTTTATTTACAATAACAAAATTTAACAAGTTTTTGGGAATTTTTTTAGGAAATTCTTTTAAATTTTAATATTTTTAAATAAACCCTAAATAATTAAAAAAATTTTTAAGAAATTTAAAAGCCTTGCATAATTTACCCGTTTGCAAATGTCCACCAAACATACCACAAAAATCTTTAAAATTTAAATAATTTAAAAAAAAATAATTATTTAATTATTATCTCTCTTATTCATTCAAACAAACAAAAAAATAATTTATTTATTTAAATATTTATTTTCTTTAATAAAGCACAAAAGCATTGACTTGTCGTCCAAAACTATTTACTAATCTAGTATTTATTTGTTATTTTTTTTTCTTCCACAGATTATATTGTTCCAACATCATTTTTGTCGGTCGATTGGTTCTTTTACATTTATATAAACACAAACCCACAAAACTTTTTTTTTAAACTTATCGACTTGTAACTTTTTAATGATGATCAGACTTGATCCAAAATAGATAGTGCTTATCGAGGGCTTTCGATATACGATTCATTTGGATTAAAACAAAAGTACCCAAAAATAATAAAAAAATATTTTATTTGAAAATTCTAAAAAAAATATTATTTACAACTTCTCGACCATTTTTACATTTTTTCCATTTTTGTCTAAAATACTTAAACATCTGGACATATCCCCCCACTTAAATATATTTATTTATATTCTCTCCCCGATCCAATTTCTTCTACAACCACCCACTTGGGTTATATTTATTTTGTATGGATCGCGATGACTGACCACCACCCCTACCACCCCTTCCACCCCCCCCCCCTCCCTCCTCACCACCAATCACACACACAAAAACATTAAAAGAAACACTTAAAAGCATCAACATTCTCTATAACCCCCGATCGATGTTTTTAATGTCTGAGAGAAGTTTAAAAATAAAAAAAAGAAAAAATTTTCGCAAAAATCCTTAAAAAGAAATTCTTTTTTAAATTCCACAAAATTATTTAAAACCCCAAAAATTGTTTTGTATTTCCCCTCTCTCTTTTAAGTAAAAGAATGCAAATTTTGGCGCGCGCTCATTCCTCCTCCTCCTCCTTCTATTCTTGATTCCTTCATTTTTCTACTTTGCTTTTCCTTCTCTCAAAACATAAAAAAAATTTTTTTTACACGAAATTGAATAAACGGCCAAAATATTTGATCAATAAAAATATTTACCTAAATAAAAAATCTTATTTTTTCTAAACTACTTTATAAAGTAATTCCATTTCAAATTCCGATAATTTGTGTGAATTTTAAATTTTAAATTGTCCAAATCCTTCTTAATTTGATTAAACAAAATTTAAATTTTTCTTTCCAAAAACACTAAAAATTTAATAAAATAAACTTTAAATTACCCACTTTTTTCTACTATAAAATTTCAGAAAAATATAATCATTTAATAATTTAAATTAAAAGAGAAATATCAAAAAATTTTAAAAACAAAATTTATTAATTTTTTTTATCATTTTATCAGCAAATTTTCGATTTTCAATTCTCTCACCAGTTCTTCTTCCGATTTTTTTTAATTTTAAAAATAAAAGAAATTAATATATTTTTAAACAAAAATAACAAAAAATTTTAAAGAATTTAAACGTGGGAAGTTTTTTTGAAAAATGAGTGAAAATTTATAAAATAATTTTATGTATGTAGTTTTTGATGACGTTAATTAGAAAAAAAATTTTTTTAATTTAAAGTTAAATATATTTATTTTTTCTAAAATTATTTTCGAGATAATTTTTGTTTTAATTTAAAAATTATTTATTAAATTGTGTCAAGGAAATTAATTTATTTTAATAAAGTTTTGTAGGAGGGCTGTATTTGAAAAAAAAAAGTTTTGTATTTTTAATTTGTTTTTTCTTCTTCTATTTTTAATTAAAAATTTATTTTTAATTTCCTTTCCTTTTTTGCAAATTTAAAAAAAAATACTAGATAATTAGTTTGTTTGTGTTTGTTTTCGTATATTTTTGCTGATTCAATCAACACCTTCTTTTCTCTTTTTTAAATTAATTTTTAAATAAATTCAACAAAATTCTCTTTAAAAATAAATTACGTAAATATATATTTTTGAGTAATTTATTGAAAAATAAAAATAAATTTATTTTTATTTTTACCTAAAAATCTATGAATGTTTATTAAATATTTCTTTTTTTTGTTTTTAATTGAAAATTAATTTTAATTTAATTAATTTATTAACTAAATG